ACTCCATTTGAAGAATTAGATAAGCCAATAACTTTAGAGGAAATTTCAAAAGCTGTTAAATTATTGAAAAGGGGTAAATCTTTAGTAGTGATTATTTAATGAATGAATATTTCATAGAAGGTTTGGATATAATAGGTGCGCATTGTGTTGATATATTTAATGCTATTTTAAATCGGGTTTTTATCCAGAGAAATGGACTGAGGGAATTATAATACCTTTGCATAAAGAAGGGTAGTACTGATGATGTTAAACAATTTATAGAGGCATAACATTAGTTAGCTGTCTTTCAAAATTATTTACCACTGTGCTTAATAATAGAATTGAAACTTTTTTGTGAAAGTAATAATATTTATATCTGATGCTCAATTCGGTTTTCGAAAAAGGCGTTCTACAATGGATGCTATATTTATTCTTTTGTCTTTAATCCAAAAGTATTAAATCAAAATAAACGTTTATATGTAGTTTTTTGTTGATTTGATGAAATGTTTTGATAGTATTTACAGAAACGCATTATGGCTCAAAATGTATAAATAGGTATCCAAGTAAAATGTTAAGAATAATTAGAGATATGTTACCAAAATGTAAAATCATGTGTTAAGTCATGTTCTAGTTATTCTGATTATTTCAATTATGCATTGGCCTACGTCAAGGGAGGTAATTTCTCCAATTTTATTTTCTCTCTTTGTTGAAGATTTGGAACTTTATTTACAAGACAACATTGAAACTGGTTTGACATTGATGATTTATATTGATTTTATTATTATTGCTGATGATATGGCCATCGTGGGGCAAGTCACCAATAAGAACTTCAAAATAATTTAATCTTTATATTCATATTGTAATACTTGGGTCTCAAGGTAAAATACTACTAAAAACTAAAGTAATGGTTTTAGAAAGCGTGGAGGACTTTACCCACAGAACACTGGACCTACGACGGCCAAATCCTAGATATTGTAAATGATTTTAACTACCTTGGTACTGTTTTTTAACTATACTGTAATTTCACACTTAATCAGGAACATTTAATAGGAAAGCATAAAGGCTCTAAATGTTTTATTTTATAACTGTAAAAAATTTGATTTAAAACCAAAAACATATATGCCAATATTTGATGCATATTGTAGGGCTCAATCTTAGGATATGGATCTGAAATATGGGGGTACACAAATCTAAAGAAATAGAAAGAATTCATTTAAAATTTTGCAAACGATTATAAATGTAAGACCTAATACCTGTTCTGCTGCTGTTTATGGGGAATTAGGAAGATATCCATTATATGTGTCCCGTTATGTTAGAATAATTAAATTTTGGTGCAAGTTGAAAAAACTCGGATAATATCATTTTAAATACAATGTATAGAGAAGGTGTAATTGATTGTAAAAAAAGGTGTAAAAATTGGGTCTCAAATGTGAAGAAGTTGTTATGTGATTATGGTTTTGCTGATATTTTTGATAGTGATACTTATATAGATCCTAAATTGTTTCTTCAAAAATTTAAAGTAGAGTTATTGATACGTATAAACAAAAGAATGGCCAGTATCCTAGATCGAAGTTCTGTTTTATGTAATTACAAACATTTTAAATTGTGTCTTAGTTACGAAAATTATCTTGACATCTTACCACGTAAATTTAGAATGTATTTTTGTCGATTAAGACTATCTGTTCATCCTCTCAAAATACAAACAGGAAGGTATGCCACTAATAACATTCCTCGTGAACAAAGATACTGTCAGTGCTGTGTAATGTTTTGGATATAGAGGATGAGTATCATTTCATATGTGTGTGTTCAAGTTTTGTAGATTTACGTAAAAAATATATAAAAAGTTACTATTATAACAGACCATCTATGTTTAAATTTACTGAATTATTGTGTATTAAAAATAAAAAAATATTAATAAATGTTTGCAAATTTATCAAAGAAGCTTTAAAGCTAAGAAATACAATTTTGAACTCTCAATTGTAGTTTATCCTCTCATGAATTTGGTGCTTGTAATTGTTATGTTTATATTTATTATAATGACTCGCCATACATATATTTATGTGATTATGTTGTATATATTCTTCAATTCATGGTAACAAGACGATGTACTTTGTATAAGTCTAGAAAATAAAAGTTCTGTTCTGTTTATTGTTATCTGCCCTTGAATTTGAAAATTTTGCAGATTTCAAGGGCAGATAAGTCTCAATAAAGGTAAGCACCAACTTATTATTTCTACTTTTCAGGTAGCTAAGCTGACATCCTTTTGAGTAAATAATAATTTGATTATCAATATCTATCTATTTATTTATTTCGCCTTTACCTAATCTAATGCAAAATTTCCTAAAAGATGGTATGGCCTTTTTTTCAGAACGTTAAGTCTTTTGACTTTGCTTTCTTTAAACACAATTGTTTAATGGAATTTTGTCTTGTGACCAACTATAAACTAATCGTGCAAAAACTTTGTCACACTTCTGTAAATGTACTGAAATAGCAAAACAAAACGATCAAGGGCAGATAACTACAAAACAAACTCATTGACTTTTTGCGCTTAAAATGTTTCTGTTATCATATTCTGAGACCATGCACACTTTATTTTAACTCTTTTTATTGTTCATTCTGTCTTTATGTAAATTTAGCATACGCCTTTAGTTGGTCTGTTTAGCGAAACTATTTATAGCAGATGGACAACGGGAGATTAATCAAATTTTCTTTTAAATTCCAGAGAGTATCAATTCTCTCCCTTTAATTTTTTAAATTTTACACAACGGCATTTGGTTTCATTGAAAAAGTCTCTCGTTACAAGTTCAAATTGCTATAAAACTATAAAAACTGCTTCAATACTAATCAAACTTCTGGACCATTGCCTTTGTAATAACATGCCCAGGCTTAAATTTTCTGTTACTATGGCAACGAGGGGACATCTCAAAATTGCCAAATATCACTATTTTGCGTTGATTTTTCCCTTCAAAATTTATTTCAAAGTGCTGCAACTTCTCAATGGATTGAGATAGAGTCAAATGCTTTTCAGCGTTGGTTACACGTTACCTTATGATCGATCTGGGGTCATTTTTAGCCTCTCACAAGTCCAAAATTTTCTTGGCGATGAGGGCACATCCCCCTTCTGGCAACCCCCTGATGTATCTTTTGGTTGGGGGCCGCGCCGAAAAAGTGGTCACTTTTTTAAACAACATTTCTCAAACAAAAACAAGTGTTGGGGGCCTAAATAAGGCATTTTTTCACCATTTGAGGCAATAAAAAGGGGGGGGGGTGAAAATGGCGTTAAAAGGCGTGTATATCGGGTAATGGGTTAAGGATTTACCAAAGTCTATTAACATGATTAATAATTTTAGTACCAAAAACTAGACACAGTAATGATCTCTTTCTTTGACATTTAATGGAGCTATAACAATTTGCAGTCTAGCTGGTTTTATCATCCCATAAATTAAAATATCATTTTATGATATTGAATAGTATTCTTGTTGTAAAATTTATCATCCACATTTATTTATTTGATGTGTCCAATTACAGTTTGTTGATCTATAATTAATGGCACAAAAAAACCTTAATTCTTTCAATTTTGAAAACCCTGGTAATTAGATTGGTGTAAGCCGGCGGGAGTCAAACCAGAAAGTTTCCGGTAACTAACTAAAGTTCAGATCGACTTATCCTGATCAAATTTGGTATAAAGCAAGATTATGTGAAGACCTTGCTTAAAGTTGCTTTTCTAGGTCAAGTTCACTGTTACTAAAAATAGAAAATTGGTTTCCGGTCAATAACTGAAGTTGTAATGAAACTTGATGAATAGTAAGCTGATGTGAATACCTACCTGGAAGAATTGCTTTTGATCCCTAAGGTCCAAGCCAAAGTCCCCGTTTCTAATTAGAAAATCGATTTCTTGTCAATAACTAGATTTACGAATAAGATATTTATTGAAATTTGGTGTGCTGCAAGCTTTGGCCCCCTAGATCAAGGTCAATATCGTCACAGATATATATATATATATATAGCTCCATGATATCTTCCAGTAAATAACAAGATTAAGGAACAAGATGTATTAATTAAACTTGTTGTAAAGCATTCATTTTAAAAATCTCACGTTGGATACCTTGTGAGCCCTATAGGATCAAAGTCACTGCTACGCATAATAGAAAACTGGTTTCAGGTTAGGAGTGAGATATTTAAAAGGCCAAGAAATTGCTTATTTGTAGTTACTGGGAGACAACTTCAAAAGTCACAAGTTGATATACTTACACTGGTTGTCTCCCTTGATTATGAATTTATTGTTTAAGATTTTTTGTGGAATGGTTTTAATTGTTTTGACATATTTATGGGACATTACAGAATTTCGCATAATGCCTTTTATTGAACAAAATGAGGGAAATCATTATGGTGACATATTGTTATGGTTTGCTCTGCCTCTCAGTCCAGGGATATTAGTTTAAACAATATTTATTTCCAGAATTTACAAGACATAAATATACATTACAAACAGAATACATTGTATGATAAAATACATGAAAGACTGATGATATAAGTTAAAGATATACAATGCTAAAGAATTTTTAACTTAATTAAATTCGGAAGAGGATTTGAAAACAAGTCTAAGACTTATGTAAATTCATTTCCTCAGTGGGTTGGAAAGGATGACGGCTGACTGGTCAAAATCATATGTAATGTTTTGAGATTTTGAAAAGTGAAAAAAGGGTTCCAGTGTGGAACTGTGTTGTTTGCTACCGATAAAACAGTTAACTTAGTATAATGTATAAAACCTGCTTATGAAGTCGTTCTGTAACATGCGCAAGCACTAAGAAGTGTGAAACGTTAGGTGGCGACAATGTATTTTTGGACCAGTCCAGGGATATTGGGTTCAAGCCCTGTGGTGATAAAGATCCTATTTCCACACAACAACAGTACTACAATGTATTCAATTCCAGGAGGTGGACACAGAAGTACTTTCTACTCAATCTACCATGTTTAAATAAACCATGTTTTAATTAACTAAAACAAAACATTAAAACAAATTGCACTTTTCAACATTTTTAATAAATAAACAAATAAAATGATAGTTTATACAAAGTGTTAAACTGTATTGATCAACATTCTTTAATTACAATGTATCTATAACTTTATAAAAATTGTAGTAAAATAGATATCTAAAAATTATATGAATAAAATCTCATCGAATATAGATTCTGGAACAAAAAAACACAACAAATATGAACTAAAAAACAAGAGCCACCGCCGGGCGGGGGCAACGCTCGACTTTTTACTTTCTCTAAAAGCAAACAAAGAAATGTTTGAACAAAATATTAACATTTCCTTTTTTATAAAATTAATCATTCTGTTTTGTCACATTAGTTTTGTCTATATATTTTATTATTATATAAATTTACTAATTTATATATATATAAATAGAGACAACCAATTCGAAGTCACATGGTGGTGTCACGTGGTAGAGTCTCGTGGTGGTGTCTTGTGGTGGAGTCACGTGGTGGTGTCACGTGGTAGAGTCACGTGGTGGAGTCATGTGGTGGAGTCACGTGGTGGAGTCACGTGGTAGAGTCTCGTGGTGGTGTCTTGTGGTGGAGTCATGTGGTGGTGTCACGTGCTAGTGTCACGTGGTGGAGTCATGTGGTGGAGTCACGTTGTGAAGTCACGTGGTGGTGTCACATGGTGGAGTCACGTGGTGGAGTCACATGGTGGAGTCACGTGGTGTAGTCATGTGGTGGAGTCACATGGTGGAGACACCTGGTGGAGTCACGTGGTGGAGTCATGTGGTAAAGTCACGTGTGGTGGAGTCATGTGGTGGTGTTACAGGGTGGTGTTATGTGGTGGAGTGACGTGGTGGAGTGACGTGGTGGAGTGATGTGGTGGTGTTACAGGGTGGTGTTACTTGGTGGAGTCACGTGGTGGAGTCACATGGTGGAGTCACGTTGTGGAGTCACGTGGTGGAGTCACATGGTGGTGTTACAGGGTGGTGTTACTTGGTGGAGTCATGTGGTGAAGTCACGTGGTGGAGTCATATTGTGAAGTCACGTGGTGGAGTCACGTTGTGAAGTCACGTGGTGGAGTCACGTGGTGAAGTCACGATAAACAACAAGGTCTAGTTTTTAAGTATGTTCTGTTATAATATGAAGTTGATCCCTTCAATAATAGCAAAGTAACAGCCAGTTACAGCCAAAACAAAGTCATTCATGAGTGAAGGTCAAGGTCTGTCGGGTTATTTTTAAGGGTTATCCTTGAAGATTATTATGTTCAAGTTTGAAGACAATCCATTCAAAAATAACAAAGTTACAGCCAATAATAGCCAAAAACATGAAAATTTCAATAATTTGACCTTCAAAGTCAAGGTCATTTATGAGTGAAGGTCAAGGTCTGTCAGGTTATTTTTAAGGGATATCCTTTAAGATTATTATGTTCAAGTTTGAAGACAATCCATTCAAATTGGACTTTTAACCTTGAAGGTCAAGGTCATTTATGGATGAAGGTCAATGTTAGTGTGGTCTACTGAAAGGTCTTGTCCCAAGGGTTGTTGTGGCCAAGTATGAAGACAATACACCAAGAAATAAAAAAGTTATGATCCAGGTACAAGTTTGCGAACGGCAACGCCGCCGCGACTATAACAATACCTCTACTTTTTTTTCAAGAAGGATAAGAAAATACATTATGCATTAGTAGAGAAACTGATAGCGAACAGCATGGATCCTGATCAGACTGCGCGGATGCGCAGGCTGGTCTGGATCCATGCTGGTCGCAAACCCATTATGTTGGTTTTGTCGTGACGCGGCTCATTTTTTTTTGACATTATTTCTGTATCTGCGACACAGGACGTTCTGAGACACAGGACAATAAGACTCAATGTCTGAGAGCAATAGTCACAGAGAAATTATGCCTTGCCCAAGGATCATACCAGCGACCCCTAGATTACAAATCTGATGATGTCCCTACTGAGTTAGTTGTGTAGATTGAAGACCATAATTTAAGTCTGCACTGGTTGCATCAATAGATTCAGTTGCCACCATTTGGACAAAGGTTAATGTTAATGTACAATATACTGGGGAAGAAGGGTCAATTAATCAAACAGACTGTGTTGACAGTCAAAACTGGTCCCATTCTGATAAACATATTAAGAAACAATGACACTTTACATTATAATATCATTTCAACTTTTTAACTCCAACTTAACTCTTATTCTTTTTCGAAAAAAACAACAACAAAAAAACAACAAAAAACAACAACAAAAACATATTAAAAAGTAGCTCATAAAGAAAAAACACCAGTGTTTTTGTCAATTATCATTTTTGTGTTACCATTACTGTTCTATATTTCAAAATGTAAGACTGTCAACGTGTAACATCTTTTTAAAACTGTAACATGATACCAAAAATTAAGTTTTTCGAGAAATAAAAGGGTACTTTTTTGGGGCTTTACATTATGGGCCTTTAAAAGATTTAAAATATATAATAATAAAGTTCCAGATCATTTTTAGGAGTAATATTTAATGTAATAATCTTATTATTATTGGAATTTTCCACTTATAGATTTTTTGTTCAGGTTTTCAATATCACAGTGGTCACATAATCACAGATTTCTAAACAAGAGCGCAAATGTCACTCTGTGTCAAGTTGTATCTGCTCCTTGTTATGTAGTATCTTATTCCTCAACTATAACACAGCATCCAAATGCTTGACAAATTATAAAAAATACATTATGCACTACTAATACTGAGTTTATCAATTTATGACAAAACAGCAATAAAACTAGTTCACTCCTTGTACCATAGTATAATTTTTCTTTGTTACATTGTACCTCACTCCATGTTTCATACTCCTGGTTAAAGTCTGTTCAGAACAGTCAATCGTGAATTTTGTTTCATACTGTATTTAAACCCAATTCATTATTTTTTTCCTAAACTCTGTCTCTTTCAGTTCAATGTAAATAAAGATAACAAGGGATTTTCACAGGTATAACAAAGAACATTACTCCGTGTCGTGTAGTATTTTACTCCTTAACTCGTAGTATCACTCCACCAAGGATGACAATAACCACACACCAACCAGACGACACCAAATATCCTCGCCATACTGCGAAATATGCTATATCTAGTCCTATGAAAAAATAACATTTATTTGGTTAATTAAGTTTACTTTCACACAAAACTTCATTCTCATATCATTATATGACAAAAACTTATTACAAGAAAAATTTGACAAATAACCAAAAACCCATATCACACATGTGTATAGCAACAATAAAGGTAAAAAATTCTAAGTTAATAAGAGGCATAACTAAAACAAATTTTGCTTTCAGAATTATGTCCCTTGTCAAATAACTACTTGTAATGATAAGCAAGTTTTCCAAGTATACCTTTTTAAATGTTTGAATGATGGGCTACATTAAAGTTTTTGCGTGGCGTCAATGGCGACAACAAAAATGCCACAGCGTAATAATAGCTTGATATTTTCTTCAAAACAGACAAGCTAGAAAGCCATGTGATATTTATTCGTGATGATGCTGCTCCACATAAAATTTACTTCAACTTACCAAGATGACTCTTTAAACAGTGTATCATATTGAAATTTTTCAAAATCTGGTAGATCTTAACAATGAATATAACCCTCAGTCTGTTGGTGGCAACAGATTATACCCAAGTTACTAATGCAGACTACGATCAGCTGGCACATTTATACTGTCTAATCATGGTCTGCACTGCACACTTATTTTGAAATTTTTCCTAAAAATATTGAATGGTTTTGTCCAAAATGATAGATGAACTAGTCCATTTAAGATATTTAACATGGAAAGGGTTTAACAGATTGTTATTTTTAAGAATTATTAGCACCTATTAGGTAATATCTTTTTGTTTTTTGCTTTGGTTCACTGCAAGTCAACTGTGAACTGGCAGAGAGTTAACTAATGTGAGCTACTGTCAGATTCCCCTCATAAACCATTGGATACAGCCAAAGACAGCACAAGGAATTAGATGTATTATAGTTAAACAAAAATATCCACGAAAATGTGTATCATCCATTTATCTACATACATTAGACCCCACTCTCTAACAATCAGGGGGAAGCAGATGGTCTGTGTATATTTGATAAACATTGTATATGTAAACCAAATTTGAACTTACCTCTGGCAAGTATACATCTCATAGCTTCACAAGCAAATGTCATTGGTGAAACATAACTGACATACCTCAACCATATTGGCATCGCTTCTATAGGCCATAAAATACCTGAAATACAGCACAAAATGTCAAAAACCCTTGAAACATAATTTTTGAAATTCTAGTACAAATGAACGGATAAATCAGGAAAAGATAGTAAAAAATATACACAGAATTAAATTGAATATTGATTTTTTTTGTGATTCTTGTCCCAGTTTGAGTGAAAAGCATTGCAAGTTTTCAAAGTTTCATTTTTGGTCATTTTGCACAATAAATATGATTATTCGGGCAATTTGCACACAAGCTATTGGTCCAGACCTTCATCAAATGGTATACAACTCTTGAAAAATGACTTCCAGTTACGGCATGTCAAGTAGCCTCAGTGGAGTTTCTTTAGAAATTAAAATGAAATTTATAGCTTACCACTAATAAGTAGCAAAGGAAAGTAAGAGCCTAAGGCAAGTTGTATAGCTGAGTTTTCATCATTACATACTGCAGAATATACCACACCTACAACATAGAAAACATTAATTATTTTGAACCCTCAGGTAAAGTCAATGTTTTTTTATCATGACAGGTTTATTTGCTATCAGTAAAGGGCCAGGCCATTCTGTATAACCAGTGCCATTAGACCAAGCTCTATACTTTATCCATTCTTCAAGCCATTTTTCAGATATCATGATATTTACTCTAAAACCTTAAATAGGCATTCTTATTATTATATAATTGGTATACAAAATATACCTAAAACAATTCGCTAGGCATTCTTCAGGAATCATAACATATACCATATAAGCCATTCTTATTCATTATTTTATAAGCATCATAAAATATCTTCCAGCCATTTTTTAGGTATCATAATATATACCTTATGCCATTCAGATTCTTATCATTATTTTACAGGTATCATAAAATATCTGCTAGCCATTTTTCAGGTATCAAAATACTTATCCTAAAAACCTTAAAAGGCATTCTTATTATAACATTACTGGTATCACAAAATATACCTAAAAACAATTCTTCTAGGCATTTTTCAGGTATCATAATATATACCTTTAACCTTTCTTATCATTATTTTACAGGTAGCATAAAATATCTTCTAGGGTTTTTTCAGGTATCATAATATATACCTTTAACCATTCTTATCATTATTTTATAGGTAGCATAAAATATCTTCTAGGGTTTTTTCAGGTATCATAATATATACCTTTAACCATTCTTATCATTATTTTATAGGTAGCATAAAATATCTTCTAGGGTTTTTTTCAGGTATCATAATACTTACCTAAAGCCATTCCTAGAAAACCTTGAATTAGAACTAACAGTATTACCCATATCAAGGGACCTAGACATGGAACCTGAAAAAAAAAACAGATTAAAGTTACTAATATCTTTTTGTAAAAATATTGAAGAAAATGAGCAAATAAACAAAGCAGAGCTTCCCTTTTAATAGTTGTATTAATGAAACTTCAATGTAAAAGGATCGTATGGTTAGCTCAATAGGTAGAGCATTTGACTCTGAATCCAGCGACCTTGGTTCAATTCCCGAATGGTGCAAGTCATTTTGATTGTGATTGATCAAAAAATCATTTCTACAGTCATTTCCAAGTTGTAGCTTGGCTCTGGCATGTACATAAGTTAATCAGTTCCTTATGAAAGTGATAGCAAATAGTACTGATAAACTACTTGACAGCCTGCCCAGAAACGATGCAATGGCTGAACTGTGCTCTTGTAAATTTAATGTGACTTCCTGAAATGATCCGGAGTATAAACTACCAACACCACTATCACTTCAATATAAATTCAGCGAACACTTAACACTTTTATCAGCTTAATGTCTAAAATGGACTTGCCCAGCTTCAAGTTTGGGACTGTCCATTATCAATTTTAGGGATATCAAAGTGAAAATTTAAGTCCTTTCAGACTGCATGAATGTGGCAAAGGCTTATTACTTCCAGTTTCAGGAGGTATAAGGTTAAGAAAAGAAAAAAATACCTGTAATAAAGTAACACTAAAATGTAACACTTACATTGAACACAAGCAGGGCCACTGTTAGTAGCACAGCAACTTGAACAACAACAATCAACATCTGTGTTATCATATGAGCTAACATAATCTCAAATGAAACCATACCTACAAACATGAGAATGAAAATAAAGTCTTAAAATAAATTAACACCAAAAAAAAAAAGACACAAGATATATCTTTTTAACTTCAGTTTTATATAGATAAATATAAATATTAAGAAATTGTTATACCAGTTACAATACATACAGTAAACATATAATGTTTTCATGATACAAAAATGTATATACTTTTACTTGTGGTCTTTATTCACAAAACAAAACGCCCAGTAGGACAGGATGCTCAACTATTCTCGGTGCTTTACAGTAAAACAAGAGAATTTTAAAAAAAACAAAAAAACATTCTTCAAGTTCAAAAAGCGCTGGTCTTATGGGCATTGCACAGTGGCAACCTATTATGCTCTCAAATATGTATTCAATGTTTCAACTCATCCCATTTAGTAGTTTTGGAGATATCTACAAAAAACTTAACCAAAGTGTGACAGCGACACTCATGCCTGGATGAGTCTAAAACTGCACCCTATTTTTTTTTAAAGTCTAGCTTATTAAATAGTTGAATTACCTGAGGCAAGACATCTATCTAACATCCCTAACTTTTTATCCATGATAAACACTAACGTTGTCAAACCAGTCGCCAAGAAAAATGTTATTCTGAAAATAACAAAAATTATCAAATAAATTTACATGAAGATCTAAATAATTTCATGTTATAAAGCTAAAATGAGAATATATTTGAAATGTAAACTTTTTCAAAGGGATTTTTAGAGTTAAATTTCTACATAAGATAAGTAAAATCTAGAATCTGTGTAGGTTCCACCTAAAATCTTATGATGGCTAATAAAACTTATATGAGACAAAATATCAGACGAGACAATGTGATAGTCAACAACACTTGCTCCATTGTAAGTTAAACAAGTAAAATTACCTGCAACATCATTGTGCAAAAATTTTCAGAATTTTGACAACTTACGAGATTATGACACCTGGCGCCATAAATTCAGTGAAAGTTGCGTCTAAATCACCATATACAGGTTTCAACATCTGGAAATAATTGTGACGACATTGTGTATTTGATTTAAGTGAATTTCTTATATATCTCTATAAAGAGTAACTAAATATTTTCAAATAACTTAATGAGACTATAACATGGGAAACATCAATAGAAAAGAAAAAATTACAACAGAATGGAAAAGATCAAAAAGAGCACAGACTGAATTGCATCATATGGGGCATATTTTCATAGAAATACAATATTCTCATTAGTTTATACATCAATAAAATATAAAACAGATAAGAATGGAATAAAATAGATCTCAACAAGTTGTGAGAATCTAGTAGTATGTATCATTTCAAAACCACATTAACATTTATTTTTTGGCCATATCTTGGGGATTGACTCGTCTAACTTGATAACTTACAAGTAAATACCAACTTCTCCACAAGTGACTGACTACTAATCCCACATAATCTCTGAATCAGCGGTGAGAGAATTTTGACTATTAGACTCAATGTTCAAGATCAATTGTCACAGAGAAATTATGCTGTGCCAGACGAATGAACCAGCAACACCTGGGTCTGAGGTTATAAAAAACTTCTCGAAGCTCAAACTCAGATATCAGGTATTTGATTGGTTGGACACTGCAACAAAATGTCCACCGACCAATGAAAATCCTGAGATTTGAGACTGAGTGCAAAAAGAAGTTTTGTTACCTCAAGGCCTGGATTACTTATCAGATTTTCTTACTTATCAGATTTTCTATCTATTAACTAAGCGGGCAGATAACTCTTATCTACATAATGTCAAAGAAGTCCGTAACATACAAACCTCAATAGGTAGACTAGCTAATTTAGGATTTATCTTCATCTTTGTCAGCATTTCTTTGGCAAATAACTCAAAAGCATCTGTAATCTTCTTCATTAACACAATGGCCACTTGTTCATCTAAAATAAAATATTTATCATTAATTAATGCAACACCACAAAGATACAACTGTAAAAATATGTTTGAATCCCCAGGTTAGCCTGAAAATTCTCATACATTCTAAATTCTGGAGTTAAACATCTATACTTATTGAACAAATCCTACATGAAAACTACATTTTGTATAATCACAAACTAAAAAAAATATTAGACAAGTTTCAAATTGTGATTTTAAAAATATAAATTTTTTTTTTGGCTGGGTTACACAATTTGAAAAGTATCTACAAAGCACAAATTTAATAATATTCTTACTAGTAGAGTCCAACTGGAGCTTTATTGAACTGCCATCTATTACAGAATCTGATAAATTACCTCCCTGAAACCTGGTAAATATATTGAAATATATCATTTTAACTGCATTTCAAAATATCTTTTTTCTGCCCGCAATTTGATATAAGCACTAATAACCTCATAATAATCTTCCCTTATATAAACATGTGACATTCATTGCTGAACAATGTGTAATAAAGAGAAATTTTGCAAGCAAAGGAATAAAGAGAAGTTTTTCTGAGCAAAGGAATAAAGAAATTCTGCTGAACAAAGGAATAAAGAGATGTTTTGATAAACAAAGAAATGAAGAGAAAATTTGTTTAGCAAAGAAATAAAACAAAATTTTGCTGAACAAAGGAATAAAAAAAGTTTGCTTGGCAAAGAAATAAAAAAAGATTGATTGGCAAAGGAATAAAGAGAAATTTTGCAAAGCAAAAGAATGAAGAGAAAATTTGTTGAGCAAAGAAATAAAGCGAAATTTAGCTTTATAAAGGAAAAAAGAGAAATTTTGCTGACCAAAGAAATAAAGAGAAAGTTTACTGAGCAAAGGAATAAAGAGAAATTTTGCAGAACAAAGAAACAAATAGAAAGTTTGCTGACCAAAGGAATATAGAGAAAATTGCTGAACAAAGGGATAAAGAGATGTCTTACTCCAGCAGGATCAAAGCTTTTAAAGCAAGCTGGCCTGATTTTATATTGGTGGCAAAGGCTAAGGTATAACAAGGGTGCCATAGTCACAAAATACGCCCGTTTACGAAAGCTTTAGATGGAGATGGGGGCATTATGGATAAGTGTTATCTCGCAAGCAAGTTTTTATTCTTGGCACTGTGTTGTTAAATGAACCTTAAAACAAATCAGTAGGGAAGATATGCACAGGATGTGTGACCTTGACCTTGGTTGCAGGGACCTGAATTTTATGCACGGCACTCAGCCTCACAATGATGAACATTTGTGCCAAATTATATTGAAATCCCTCTATGCATGTAGAAGTTTTGCTCCAGACAAGCGTTTTTCTATGAGCTCTAACTGTGACCTTCACCTTTGACCTAGAGACTTGGTTTATGTGCAGGGCACTACGTCTCATGGTGGTGAACAATTCTATAAAGTAACATTAAAATTCCTCCATGCATGTAGAAAATATGCTCTGGACAACATCTGGATATTTAATCATCTCCAGTGACCTTGACCTTGCAAATATTAACCTATATTAAATGTGTCACACCTGTAGTCATGATAGTTACCATTTGTGCTACAATCCATCAATAAATGATGACTAAATGGTCCCTACACACATCTTCAAATTTTTATCTGAACTTTGACCTCTATGTGTAACATTGACTTTGGTCGCAGGGATCTGAATTTTGCGTGCGACACTCAGCCTCACAATGGTGAACATTTGTGCCAAGTTATATTGAAATCCCCCTATGAATGTAGAAGTTTTGCTCCGGACAAGCGTTTTTTCAATGAGCTCGTGACCTTGACCTTTGACCTGGAGACCTGGATCATGCATGGAGCAATACATATCATGGTGGTGAACATTTCCATAAAGTATTATAAAAATTCTTCCATACATGTAGTAGATATGCTCCAGACAAAATCTGGATATTTCACCATCTTTAGTGACCTTGACCTTGCATATATTGACCTAAAGTACATGTGTCACAGCCGTAGTCATGATAATGACCATTTGTGTTACAATCCCTCAATAAATGATGATTAAATCGTCCCTATACACATCTTCATATTTTTATCTAAACTTTGACCTCTTTGTGTGACCTTGACCTTGGCCGCAAGGACCTGAATCTTGCGCACGACACTCCACCTCACAATGGTGAACATTTGTGCCAAGTAATATTGAAATCCCTCTATACATGTGGAAGTTTTGCTCCGGACAAGCATTTTTCAATGAGCTCCAAGTGTGACCTTGACCTTTGACCTAGAGACCTGGTTCATGTGCGCGACACTGCTCCTCATAGTGGTGAACATTTCTATGAAGTTTCATGAAAATCCCTCCATACATGTAGGAGAGCTGAACTGATATTTACTTGAAAATTAAAATATAATTAAATTTCTATGAGAAAGTATTTACATTTGATAAGGTAATTACTGTATGATATTTATGAACAAATACCAAGTATACAGAACACCATAGTTATCATAGTTAAGAATCTTGACCAATGAATGAAACATGTGTAAATAAATGTTACATTCTTTAGAACATACTCAAGTCCAAGAAAGAGGATTATTTTATGCCCTTTGATTAAATTCTATTTTTAGAATTGAAAGTGAAAGTAGATCAAGGGGAGTAATTGTGTAAGTCATTTATGAACAAAGTAATAACTTTGTTGTCCCCCTTTGATTAAATTCTATTTACAAAATCTGGATTTTTCATCATCTTTAGTGACCTTGACCTTGTATATATTGACCTAAATTATATGTATCACAGCCATAGTCTTGATAATGACCATTTGTGTTACAATCCCTCAATAAATGATGACTAAATGGTCCATATACACATCTTCATATTTTTATCTGAACTTTGACCTCTATGTGTGACCTTGACCTTGGCCGCAAGGACCTGAATCTTGCACGCGACACTCCACCTCACAATGGTGAACATTTGTGCCAAGTAATATTGAAATCCCTCTATACATGTGGAAGTTTTGCTCCGGACAAGCATTTTTCAATGAGCTCTAAGTGTGACCTTGACCTTTGACCTAGAGACCTGGTTCATGTGCTCGACACTGCTCCTCATAGTGGTGAACATTTCTATGAAGTTTCATTAAAATCCCTCCATACATGTAGGAGATATGCTCCGGACAAAATTGGACGCCGCCCGCCCGCCCGCCCGCCAGGGCGTATAAAAAGCAAGCTGACCTGACTCTACAGATTCCAGGCTAATTATTTTCAGTTCAAAAAGGTCAGGAATAAAAAACATGATACACTGACTAAAGGCTAGTAACTTTTGGGTCCTAAAAAAAGCAAGCTAGCCTGTTTCTATACTGGTGGCAAAGGCTTATAATTTAGGATTTAACAGGATTAAAAGGATTTAAATGGGGTTCAAGGGATAAAAAGCATGTGTAACTTACCGTAGCATAAGATCTGTAGTAAAATTTTCTCCTATACTGACAAGCCCCCAAGTTTTAGCTTGTTGTACTGATCTGAATGCTGCTTCATAACCTTTATCTGTATAATCATCCTGAAATAGGTCATTAAAATCAATGAATATCCTGAAATAATCCTTATCCTGAAAAAATATATCAAACAACTTTTTTTTTCAGCTGCATGAATATTTTCAAACAAAAACATACTTGGTTAATACCTTGTAAAGATCCCGAAACTTCAAATATATCCTTAAATAATCTTTTACCTTAATAAATATCCGTAAAATAATCCTTTAACTTAATGAATATCCTAAAATAATCTTTGAACATAAAGAATATCTGTAAAATAAACATTACCTTCTAAACGTATTAAAACACATGTATTAATCCAACCTTACAATATGAAAATATTTTCTTATTCTACAGATCTTGAAATAAATGATAACCTTCAAAAAATTTATATATTTACTCTTAAACTTTCTAAATTACTTCTATATAATTGTAAACAAACATTTAGAAATATTCATTAAAGCTTGTAGTTTCTGAAATGATTATTAATGAATCTTGTTCTTAACAAGTACTGGTGTCATATCTGGAAACATGGTTATGATAAGAGTAAGGCTCGAACCCATGACCCCTGGCTTGAGAGGCAGATACCTTGACTACTTAGCTCTCCCAACCCCCTGAAACATGTGTAAATACAATACCTGAATTATAGTATGATTGTCTATAGATTGTAGGAAGGCTGTCCCCATATTGAAGCCTAGAATTCCTTGGTCTTTATTGATAACAGCTATATGAAGTCCAAATGGATCATTACCAATACAAACACAAAATAGAACTATTTCTACAAGTGGTAACATGAACTGAAATAATAGGAATCTGAAACAAACAAGAATATTGGTAATAAAGATGTTCCCCAAAAACATGAACTGAAATAACAGGAATCTGAAACAAACAAGAATATTGGTAATAAAGATGTTCCCAAAAAACATGAACTGAAATAACAGGAATCTGAAACAAACAAGAATATTGGTAATAAAGATGTTCCCAAGCAACATAAATTGAAATAACAGGAATCTGAAATAAACAAGAACATTTGTAACAAATACAGAACAACACTATCTCTCAGTGGTTACATGGACTGATATAAACAAGAGTATTGGTAAGAAAGATGATTACAGGTAACACAGATGCTTCCAGGTAACAAAAATGTTCCCTGGCTACAAAAATGTTCCATGCCAACAAAAATGTTCCATGCCAACAAAAATTTTCCTGGGAACAAAGACTTACAGCAGGTAACACAAATGCTCCCCGGTAATGAAGATGCTCCCTGGTAACAAAAATGTTCCCTGGCAACAAAAAAGTTCCCTGGCAACAAAGAGGTTCCCTGGCAACAAAGATGTGAGCAAGATACTCAAATACTCCTCGGTAACAAATATGATCCTTGGAAACAAAGATTTAACAAGCTGTAAATCCATTTTTAAAACAGTGTAAAACACATATTTACCCTTTCTGGAGAAAAAATAAGGCATTTATTTTTAAGGCTTAATGTGTCTTTAAGATAAAAAAGAACATATCTTACGCTATCTTTCTTTTCATAATGTTGAGATTCTTGATAAACTGAGCCAGAATGTTCCTACCACTGGGCATACCTATAGGAACAGACCACTTGGAGTGTTTCTTTACAGGGGGCATAACATTTTCCGAGTCTAACAATGGTACATCATCATCGTCAGTGTCTGAACGAGGGACAACAATGTTTCCATTACCTAACCCACCTCCACTATGATTAACGTGAACTTCTGAATACTGAAAATATAAATGTTGCTTATTCAAAATACAATCACATGTATATTCATAAAAGCATTTCAAAACATCTGATCTATCAAAATTCAATCTTATCTAATTCTACCCACTGTTTCCTAATTTAGTGCAGTAATCCACGCATAACCCTAAATATATCAGGTCTGCGACATTAAAATTTTACCATGTTGAAGGACCTGTCAGTATTTGTCTCAATGTCAATGACTGAAGCGCACCCTTCCTGTCATAATATTAAATGAATACTACTACTACTGACATAATGGAATTTTCCTGCCATAATGCTTCCCCTTTAATTTCAACAACTACCATATCTGAACAGACATTCGTCTAGGTAGCAGGTTATTCCGCTTTTCTATAGGTATGCAGTGAACAGTTGACCATTCCTTTGCAGCCTTATAATGCGTGTGTAAAACCTCACTTGTAACTATATGACATGAAATCCATTGGTCACCAACTTGTCACTTCATTTTCGAGCAAGTTGTGACTGGATATGTAATAATTTTTCTTACTACTTCTTACTTTAACTGTACTATGTTGTATATGAGCATACAAGTTTATTGAATGTTAAAATTGAACGTTAAAGGGGTGTCCGTGGTCGTGTGGTTAAGGTCGTTGACTTCAAACCACTTGCCCCTCACCGCTGTGGGTTCGAATCCCGACAGGGACTTCGGATTCTTTCATGTGAGGAAGCTATCCAGCTAGCTTACGAAACGTTGGTGGTTCTTATCAGGTGCCCGTTCGTGCCTGAAATAATTCAAGGAAGGGCACCTGAGTTCTTCCTCCACCAGTAAAGCTATACTGTGTCGGTCTGACATAAAACCCAACAAACAAAATTGAATGTTAAAGTGTATTCTACCTATTATGTTAACAAATTAAATTGTCTACCTGTTTGGTATCTTGAGCAAGATCTGCTGGAGTACCCTCTATATCATCCTGACACAACTTTAGAAACACATTCTCTAAACTCTGAAATATTGCGTTTCCATTTTAATGTAAAATACATGTTAATGACCTTTCACAAGCAAGCATTTCAAAGTACATACATTATAACAGCATCAATAATATTACATCTTACATTTTTTTTTTTAGATAAATATAGTAATGTTGAAATCTTGACACACTTGACAGCAACTAACAACATGGCACCTATCCTGTACAAAGTTAAGGCTATTTTGCATATATTAACACATTTCAGGTGTTTTTTTATGGATTGGTAGTTCCTTCAAGTAGCTTTAATATTACTTTATTCCTTGACATTATCAGTATTTAATTGAATTGAATCATTTCTGAACTAATCATAAAATTTATCATAATGTGGAGGCATGCAGCTTTAAAAACTATATGCATGGGGTATATTATGGGTAAATTATACATGTATAAACTTCTTACTGTCATATGATATTTCTCTATGGCTTTCATAGGCTCTTCCTCTGCTAGAATTCTACCATTTCTCATAAAGCCTACCTTCAAATGGAATAAATAAAATCATAATTTAATTAAATCTTCAGAATAAAAGAAATTTTTAGTAAATAATCTTAAAATATATCATTTAATTAATTGCACTCAGAATGCGCAAATGTGTCCAATATATAACAAGCCTAGACCAATACTAACTTTAAATACCACCATGACAAACAGTCCCCACAAAAGGCCATCTGGTTACCTCAATAGGTAGGGCGTTGGACTGTGAATCAGGCCACCCTTGTTCGTCTCCCGGATGGTGCAGGTCACTTTCATTGGGTTGCTCATGAAATCCTTTTTACGGTCATTCACACTGTACCTCTGCTCTGGCATGAAATTAACAATTTCTTACGAAAGTGAAGGCATCTAGTACTGGTAAACTGCTTGACAGCCTGCCAGGAATGATGTCTTAGCTGAACGGTGATATGGTAAATTCAATGTGGCTAACTGCCGTGATCCAGAGTGAAAACTACCAACATCACCACCACCAGTCCCCAAAAATAAGAAATGTACCTATGAAAGCTCGAAACCAATGAAAACTTGAACTTTCTCCTAAATCCAATAATAGTTTTGAGGAATCAACATTCAACTGTAAATCAGAACATGATATCACATATCCAGGTACAGTTACATTATATTAAGCTAAATAGACAAGCTTAAAATTGTAAGCCATCGAAACCACTTTTACCAACCAATATGAGAGTACATTCTAGTTACCAGAAATAGTATTATAAAATATTCAATTATTAACCAACCTTGTCAGCTTGTCTAGCCTCCTCTATGTAATGTGTGGTCAGTATAATGGTCACCTGATTCTGTGTATGACTAGTAATATTCACCAAATGATCCCAGATTCTATATAAAACAAGCAGAAAATAATTCACCAAATGATCTCATATTCTATACAAAACAAGCAGAAAATAATTCACCAAATGATCCCAGATTCTATATAAAACAAGCAGAAAATAATTCACCAAATGATCCCAGATTCTATATAAAACAAGCAGAAAATAATTCACCAAATGATCCCAGATTCTATATAAAACAAGCAGAAAATAATTCACCAAATGATCTCATATTCTATATAAAACAAGCAGAAAATAATTCACCAAATGATCCCAGATTCTATATAAAACAAGCAGAAAATTATTCACCAAATGATCTCATATTCTATATAAAACAAGCAGAAAATAATTCACCAAATGATCCCAGATTCTATATAAAACAAGCAGAAAATTATTCACCAAATGATCCCAGATTCTATATAAAACAAGCAGAAAATAATTCACCAAATGATCCCATATTCTATATAAAACAAGCAGAAAATAATTCACCAAATGATCCCAGATTCTATATAAAACAAGCAGAAAATAATTCACCAAATGATCCCAGATTTTATATAAAACAAGCAGAAAATAATTCACCAAATGATCCCAGATTCTATATAGAACAAGCAAAATTATTCACCAAATGATCCCAATTTTTTTTATAAAACAAGCAGAAAATAGTTCAGGAAATGATCCTTAATCCTACATTAAAACAATTTTTAAGTACATATTAACATTATAATAACTGCCAAATTTACAAAATTTCATAGGTTTCCCTTTTCTCAACAAATGACAGTTCTCATAAATGTTAAAGGTAAACAATGTACATACACTACGTATCAGTAAATCAATATAAATTCAGTTATCAAATTTGTCTTCAAATTCATATATCATCCACCTACCTTTCCCTGAGTAAAGGATCCACACCTACAGTTGGTTCATCTAGAATAAGTAATTCTGGTTCATGCAAGAGAGCCACAGAGAAAGACACCCGCCTCATCTGACCGCCACTGTAAACACAACACTAAAACATTTTAATCTTTCAAAAATTAGAGACATTACCAGAATTTGTGTTCCCGAATAGTTTAAATACATTTGACTCTTATATATGATGAGTTATAACTGCATTGGTAAATCTAAATATAGCATCAAGGTTTTAATGACTGTGTACTGCGTTTCAATCTCTTGTTCATTGGAACAGGCATTTTTAATTTAATAAGGGGCATGAATTTCTTTTCAGTACAGAAACACTCAAGTTACCTTACCCATGGTCTGTGATTTTAACAAAGGAAATCACTATTGCTTAAAATCATGCATATAGGCATGCTTTGATAAAAGAAAACAATGTAACTTGCAGATTTTTAATTTCATATCATATGACCTTTTTCTCTGACGGTCTTATAGCAAAAATTTGATGCAAGGTTAATATTATTCATTTCATTTGTTATTTCTTCTCAACAGCATAGTCCATATATAAATGAACTTTTTCAAAATTGGAAGTAAAAAATATGTTTTAATGAGAATGCTAATGCATATAAATCAGTGTACTTCTGCAAAATCAACAAAACTAAGAGATCGTAAAAGTTGGGGACAGCTTGACAAACCTCAACTTAGTTGACATATAAATCTTACCTTAGTTGACAGATGAACCTCATCTTAGTTGACAGATGGAACCTTACCTTAATTGACAGATGAACCTCACCTTAGTTGACAGATGAACCATACCTTAGTTGAGAGTGAAATTTACCTTAGATGACAGATGAACCTCATCTTAGTTGACAGATGGAACCTTACCTTAATTGACAGATATCTCATCTTAGTTGACAGCTGAAGATTTTCTTAGCTGACAGTCAAACCTTACCTAAGTTAACAGACAAACCTTAACTTAGTTGACAGACGAAACCTCACCTTAGTTGACAGATGAAACCTTATCTTGGTCGACAGATAAACGTCACCTTTACTGACAGATTAACATGACCTTGGTTGACAGTTTGAATTTTTACCTTAGTTTACAGATGAACGTTACTTTATTTGACAGATGAACCTCACTTAAGTTGACAAATGAACCTCATCTTAGCTAACAGATGAACCTCACCTAGGTGACAAGTGAATCTCACCTTAGTTGACATATAAAACCTTACCTTAGTTGACAGATGAGTCTTACTGACTGTTGACAGATGAACCTCACCTTAGTTGACAGACGAACATCAACTTACTTGACAGATGAAACCTTACCTTAGTTGACAGATGAGTCTACTTTTCTCTGGTAGAGTCAAAAAATCTATAAGAAAATCTGTTCTGAGTTTAATCTGTTCATTGGTCATTCCATGTAATGTACCGAAATACTTCAATGTTTCTGCTATAGTGAGATCTGTAAATAATGCTGTTTCCTGAAGATAAAAACATAAATGCTTACTATTGCATTATACAAAAACACTGGACCCATATAATGACAAAAGTAAAGAGAAGTTTTGCTTCACTGTGAAAGTCAGGTGGTAATTTTACAGTTTCGATGTCAGAGGAAGTTCTCAGGAAGCTTTCGATGCATTATTTCAGGCACAACTTGGCACTGAATACAGTCACACACGTTCCATAAGCTACCTTGAAATTTTTGAAAAATGAAAGATTCCAAAGTTCCTGGCAGGGATCTAACACAAAACAGTTAAGGGCAAAACATTCTAAGTCAACCATATACACTTGACCACAAAGGCTCCCAAAAGTATGGAAATAGAAACCTCATGGTCCATATCATATTTCAGAACAAAGAAGTATACAAAATGTACATGTACTTTATTTCAAAGAAATGTGACATCAGCTTTTTGTCAGTTTGAATTTTTGCACAGTTGACCCCAAGAGGAGTAAAATGATTCCAAAATGAGATCTTAAAAATGTTCCTTCTTCATTCTTGTAAAGTCAGACTGTAGAAACTTAATTATAATATACCTGTATTTGTAATACTCTTTCTAGAGAACAAAAGTAAGTCAAGGACCAAATCTTGAAGACTATAGCTTAGTCTAAATTATGTACATATATACATACTTGTGGCATATATCCAACCATGCTCCCAGGCACCTTATGACCTCTAGCTCCAGGTTTGTCCCCTAAAACTATCACATGACCACTGTCAACATGTAGACGTCCAATCACACATCGTAGCAATGTAGTTTTACCACACCCACTAGGTCCCAGTAAGCCATATCTAAAACAGGAGCAAAGGAAATATGAATGAACAATGTGTTACAAATTAAATTAAAATTTTAACTCTTATCAATGATAATCAAAAAGTAATCAAGAATACAGACATACATTATTTCACAGATATATTAATTGAATAAATTAAGTTACATTCAGATAAGTAACTGAATACATTTAATAACTTGTGTTTGAGTAATTGATTACAGAATATTACCATTAACTGATTACCCCATCCATGCTTATCATGCTATATTTATCAAATGAACATGTCTATTTTTTAATCTATAAAAAAAACATTCACTGTTTCATTATTTTTTTGGAAAATTTCAAAATATATACTGACTGAAAAGATAACAGTGCAGACCATGATACGACGGCTAAAGTGTCTGCTGATCTTGCTCTGCTCAAAGTGCTCTTTTAACATTGATAGAATGTTTTGCTATCAATAGCTTTGACTTTCTATTATCAAACCCAATGTCATTATTAAAGGCCAACCTTGCAAGAACCGTCACATGGGAAAATCAACATAACTCAAGTAACAATTCAAGTTTGAAATAACTCATGCTATTTTGCGAATAGAAGGTAAAAGTTTGGCTCATTTGCCTCACACACTTGCCTCTGCCTCTTTTCTGCACACCTCCCTCATACCCTCACACGATGGTTTTAAAAAATGGTGTTGTAACTAACTGGTGTATAACATAAACATAACATTAAGGAAAGACTATTACGTATTGAAAATCAAACACACTTACATACTCCCTCTTGGCACAGTTATATGTAGATTATTGAGAACACATAGTTTTCCGTAAGATTTGTTGATATCCCGTCCCCATATTGCTGCAGGAAATTGTTTATAATGATTCTGACGACTTGGTCTACTTGATGAATGATGACTTATATCATGGTCCTGGAGTGATGCCATGACTTCTAATGTTATAAATACTTCAGTAGAAACAGCATACCCAAATGTACACTAATAGCCTATGAAAAAAACAACAGTTCAACAAAAGTTTTGTGACAAAGCAGAAGAAAGGAGTCTTTTAGATGTACTTAATGTACTTTATAGCTATATTATCTAAAATTAATTAGCACTTGCCCTTTTAAGTAACAGTATTAACACATAAAAATTATGAAATCAATGCATATTTTATACAATGTATAACATTGTAGTCCAAAATAGTAGATGTACGCACTTATTAAAACTCATGTCCGGCAAGCCTGCCAAGAAGGGAAAATATCACAAAGCAATGTCACATTTTAGGACTATGCATGTGTTAGTGTATCCTAAAAATAAATACCTATCAGTCAGGAAATCAGGTCTATCCTCACATTGATCCATTTTTCAGATATTAACATGTGCAAATAACAAAGGATTTCTACGATTTTGGCAAGACTTCAATTAAAACTGTGTTTTGGGTTTAATAGCAAAATGCGAAAATTTGTTTTATTATAAATTTATTTGTTTAAATCATTATCAATGGTTTTAAAAAATTAATTCTTAAATTGAATTAATTTCTAAATTACTAATGTCTCTGAAGGCTGATTTTGACATGAACATTTTGAGCTAATTAGACTTGTCAAAAAGACATCAAGATAGTTTTGGACAGACAGTGTCTTTTTCCCAAAACAGTATGACGATTTAGTAAGGAAAAAAAAACAGTTTGTTATTAAACCATGTCAAACCATTTATGCCTAATTAATTAGGCTAGTTCCTATCCTACCATCAAAACTATCCTGATGTCTCTTTGACATCTAACTAGTCCAACTAATTGTACTGCGCGACGAGATATTGTGCTATTTTCGTGTCTGGGCAATATCTCGCCTCTACTTTCTGCCCCAGAACGAAAATATCTCAGAATCAAGCTTTGGCACGTCAATATATTTTGACTAGTCTTATTGATATTATTTAATAAGACTTGTCAGAGACATCAAGATAATTTTGACAAGGTTATGTAAGTTTTTGATGGTAGGAAAGGAACTATTAGTGAGTCTGCAATACAATTTTCTGCAATGTCCATAAATGTTTCAATTATATTGATAGCAGAAATAGTAGTTTTAATATGATCTACAACTTTCTACATGATTCTAACGTTTATAACTAGCAGGAAGGCGATTGTAAACACATTGACAAAAGAATAGAACAGAAATTATTACATCAAATATGTGTGAATCATTAAATGTACGGGTTTCCATGTCTTGCCTGAACAGATAAACTTATATAATTCATTCTTTTTATGAACCTGATTTCGCATGTTAATACAGTTCATAAAAGCTATTTAATCATTAAAACTGAAAGTCTGCAGTGAACATGTTAAATTCATACTACATACATAATGTAGTATTTATCACTAAATTGTTGTAAATAGCAACAAATTTCAATAACACAAAATGTGTCAAATAACTTACTTTCAGTTTCCCAAAGAGACGGTGCAATGTACACGATGTAATGTAAAAATGTCATGTTTGGTGGTTGAACACCACTAAGTTTTTTCCCTAGTTTGATGATACCAATGAACTATTAATGTCTTTGATTGTTCAGGATCTTTTTAAAATCTTTCTTAATGACACAGATTATATTTCAAAGGATTTGTTTTATCTTTCTATGTATTATTACCACTGGTGGACTATATTTGGGTCTAGGATAGATTGCGATAGTGTCAATATTGCTCAAACAATAAAATTATTTATACCTGTCAATTAACACTAACAGTTTCATTGTACAAAAGAGTATATTAAATGAGTGTATAGGTTCAGTACTGAACTCCTAAATCATATTATGCAAGCCTCTGTGACCAAAATTTTTTTCAACTAGTTCAATAAATTTAGTACTGAAACTATACAAATACACATGTATAAATTCTGTTTATTACAACTGTGAACACTGAAATTTTTTTTTTCTTTTTTCGTTGACATGAATATAGTATAGCGCTTACATTTAGGCTATGTTTGTTTAACGCAAATGACATGGCTTTAAAATATATACACAGGCATGCAATACCATTGGAGCATACCAATACCAATATGGATTAGCAAAAGCGGTATGGGTATGTGATAAGTTATTACATTGTGAAATATTATAAAAAACCGAGGTTTGTTCAACTAGCCAGCAAACTGCAAGCATATGTGCCAATTTCAATAGCCAGGTAATAGAGTCGTCAGACTGCAAGCATTATGCGCCAACTTGCCACACAAATATCCTATTGACATTACAGGCCTATCACCATTTATACTAGTATGTAACAGTTGTTGTTCAGATAAAGAATGATCAAATCGATCCAGATTTTAGTAAACTTACAACTAATGTGATATGAAAATTGAAGTTATTAAAGTCATATACATGTATATATGTATTGTGATTATTGATCTCAGACTTTGAATCTAATGGGATTTGTGCCTATTGCTCATTTGTCCGTCACTGCTGATTCAGAAATCATGTGGGATTTATAGTCAGTGACTCACTAGGAAATTGGTAATTACCAGTAAGTTACCGAGGAAAGTTGGTAAGATGGACTGACCACCGAGATAAGATCAAACATTTCAAATTGGTGTAAAAAAAGACCAACAAACTTGTATCAGTTTACCCTCTTTTCAAAAGTTGCCTGACCATTATGACCTGTCAGGCAAATTTCCAACCAAACCAGCAACATGATTTTAAGCACCTATCGAATAAGGCAGATTAATTAAAACAAAATATAGATATAAATTTACACACAGTGAAAATCTAGCCAGCTATTCTCATTTTAGTGAAACAAAAGTATATCATATTTGACGGCATGATCTAGTGTTAGCCATGATCGCAAAACGAGCCAAAAAGATTTTAAATAAACAAGCAACACATATATCCAGATTTTATAGTTGTTTTCTTTATTGAATAAATGTAATTATTGGATTTTGGCATCAAAATTTGATGATGTTTTTAAAATGCATACATTTAAAAGCAATCTGTAACAAAACACAAAAACAATACAAAATAATTATATAAAACTAAATTCTAAAGTCACACAATAAATAAGTACTTAAATGCTTGATAAAAATGATCAAAAGAAAAAAGTATATTGCAAACGTAATCTCAATAAAAAAGCACACATTTATTCATATGAGTTTAACTACTAACAAACAAATAAGCAAACAGTTGTTAGATGAACAGTAGGCTTGACTTTTCTCAGGAAATGACAATAATATACAATAATAATGTACTATAAGTCAGGGCCATAAAAGAATTTGATATGTGTGCAAGTAAGCCATCCAAATATAATATATGAATATTACACTTCTGTATAAAATGATATATATGTACATGTATCAATTTTAGCACAAAATCTTTTACCAACTGTTATGCCAATGCTAAGAATAGCCCGATCATTATTTGAACGGTCAATCTAAAACCATAAACCAAACATATACAAATATTTGTGAAACATGTCACTGTATCCCTTCATATAACAGAAGAAAAGTTATTCATAAATACTTGAGGTAGGGAAGTTTAAAATTAAAATCAGTACCAAATTTCATTAGTTCATGATATGCATTTTGTGAAATTCATTGATGCCATTAAAGTTAAACCATTACCCAACTAAACATCTAAAATAAACTTTAGAACTTTCGTTTTTCAATCTGGGCAAAATAATTCATAATTTTTATGGAAAACTTGAAAGTTAAAAAATAAATACTAAAATAAATACTGACTGAAAAGCAAAGAGTGCGGACCATGATCAGATGGTAGATTGTGCCCGCTGATCTTGGTCTGTACTGGATGCTTGGAAAGATGCAATTGCTGTCAGCAGCAAAAGCAATTTTAACAAAGTTTTAAGAGAACTAACAAAACATATTTACATCCACTGACCACCCCTTCTTATAAGTCTTCTTGACATAGAAAGATAACATTTCAGAAATAATAAATATGCACCAATAACTATAACAGTCAAATTTGGGACAGAGTTTCAAGTAACCTAAAGTCACTACAAAAACATAAACCAAACACATACAAATATTTGTGAAACATGCCATTGTATCCCTTCATATAACAGAAGAAAAGTTATTCATAAATACTTGAGGTACGGATGTTTAAATTAAAATCAGAACCAAATTTCATTAGTCCATGATATGCATTTTGTGAAATTCATTGATGCCTTTAAACCATTACCCAACTAAACATCTAAAATAAACTTTAGAGGTTTAGTTTTACAATCTGGACAAAATAATTCATAATTGTTATGGAAAACTTGAAAGTTAAAAAATAAATACTAAAATAAATACTGACTGAAAAGCAAAGAGTGTAAAACCATGATCAAACAGCATCCATATGCTTGTTGATCTTGGTCTGTACCTGATGCTTGGGTAGATGCACTTTCTATTGGCAACAAAAGCAATTTCAACAACGTTTAAAGAGAACTAACAAACATATTTACATACATTGACCACCCCTATTTATAAGTCTTTCTGACTTATTGAGATATCAAAACAGAAAAAATAAATATGCACCAATAACTATATTACAACAGTCAAATTTGGTACAGAGTGTCAATTAACCTAAAGTCACAACAAAGTTCCTATTACAAGTGATTTCATTTGATTTCATGTGAAATGAGTATCACATATTTCAATTAAGAATCAATAAATATTAACCAATAATTTAAAAACAAACATAATTTATATTTTCACCTTAGCTAACAGTTTAGATTTCAATCACTGAAAGCCACAGACAGAAACTGTAGTAAAAGGTTTTCAACAATTTTCAACAAAAACATTTTTGTTGTACAGAATTGAATGAAATTTCATATTTGACCTTAACAATTAAGGTCATTTACAGATCAAGGACATACTTGAAGTTTTTAATATGTCCATAATCATGGTCCTTAGAGTTGCTTTTTCAAAGTATGAACTAAACTTGTCCATTAGTAACAAAGATATGGCAATTAGAGCACATTTTAACAACTTTACCATGAGTCAATGTTACTTTAAGGTCAAGGTCAATCTTTAAAAATTCAAAATGCTGGTATAAGTGTTGTTTTGTTCAAGTATGAATCAAATCTATAAGATAATATCAAAGTTAACAAAACTCAAGCAAAATTTAATAATTTACAAATGTACATGTAACCTTGACAACTAAGGTCAAATAAAGGTAAAGTTCAACTTTGAACAAACCATATTGAAGGTCTTGTCCTTAGGATTGTTGTATCCATTTATAAATTACAAAGTTATAGCCAATTATAGCAAAAAAATATGTGAAATTACCATAATTTGCTATTTAAGGTCAAGGACATTTCAAATTCAAGGTCAAGTTCAGGAAATAGCCTGGTTAGAGTGCAGTCACGACATAGATGTGTAGGCTGACCTGGCTCTACTAATGGCAAGGCTGATGCCTGTTGAGATCAACATGAATCACTTGACCCCACTCTTGTATAATTAATTCACTTATGCTTACAAACAAGAAGACATTTATAATACTATCTAAACCTAATATAGACACTTCTCTGAGCTTTAATCTATCATTCAAACTTCATTTCTTATAAATCCTACATGAAATACCATGAATACACATGTAAATGGCAGTTTTAAATATAAAACCTAAATACTGAATATCAATAAAACCCAATGGAAGACAACAAAAAACGATAAATGATCAATAGAGATTCTGTATAGAATAATTTGATTGGCCACTGCCTTCATTTGACCCTGTGGTGGTCATCCCTACATTCTGTTGACCCTGACTGACCCCCATACCCACAGTTGCGGGTACAAGTGTGATAGGGACCGCTGAGTTGTCCTGAAGTTGTCGTAGACTCTCTATAGCACCATGTTCGTCCTGATGAAGACTTGTTGTTAAATTGGTCAGAGGCGTGAGTGAATTCTGCCGCTGACCGATGTATGAGGTTAGATTGTTGATACTCGTTAATGCATTACTAGTCACAAAGCCGAGAACATTTTCACTAATTCCCTGATGCTGCATTGCACCTTCTGAATGAGTCATGGTTAAAGCGCTTGAATGATTGCTATGATTTTCCACTTGTTTCAACGACTGACCGTAAGCATGATCAGGGAAAGACAAAGCCTCACCCACACTGTTACCAATAGCTTTGTGCTCTAAACTGAAACCCCCGTTAGTCCCAACAGTATTCTCAAGGGAGGTAATTCTATTTTTTTCAAACATAATCATAGGATTCAAAGGGGGGATTATAATATTCCCCTTCTCTTGATCAGGCACATCTTGAGAGTGAAGTCGCAGATTTTCCGTCGCCACCCTTGTTAACACACTCATTGTCTCCTTGCTTGCATTTTCAAGAATTCCGGAAACACTGACATCAAAGGACACACTTTGCCCAGTGACCGGAGCATTACTTGCTACGCTAGCTGTCAAAGTTTCTTTTTGATCACTCTTTGCCTGTTTATTATCTTTCTTCAACTTTTCATCGATAATCATTAACTGCGCATCTTGTTTCTGAATACTATGCGCAACAAACAAGTGCGTGAAATATTTATTCGAACTGTAAAACATTTCCCCACAAACAAAACACCTGCAACCTTTAGCAATAAGATGAGTAAACTCATGTTCTTGTAAGGCTCGGCCATCTTTCAATACTTTCTTACACGTTTTACACTGAAAACTTGCCTCCCCATGACTTATCTTATGTCGATCAAGATTCTCTTTACGAGCAAATTTCAGACCACACTGGTTACAGGTAAATGACTCCTCTTCATTGTGGCTCTTCTCATGGCGTCGCATACCTTTAAAATACTTGAATGATTTTCCACAATATCTGAAATTCATATATTCAAACAGCTTAATTTTTGTTGCTAAATAAGAAATTAAAATTATAACTCATTAAAATTTATTAAAGGTTCTTGCAGAGATTATCAAACAAGAAGGAAACTTGAATAAAAAATGTCTTGAAATAATTCAGCCTGTATAATTGGATGAATAGTATGAAAAGTAAAACAAACAATAACAAGATTTTGAAGGAGACGTTTAACCTGCAAGTAAACTGGCGTTCCGTAGAGTGACTCAGTACATGATCATCAAGCTGCGACCGCTTCGAGTATTTGCCACCACAGACATTACACACATATGGTTTGACCTGCAGGTGGACACATCTTGTGTGTGTGGCAAGATTGGCACTGTGGTTGAACTCGGCACCACAGATAGAACAAAGATAAGGCTTCTTTCCTGAGAAAACAAAACAAGAGATATTCAATGTACAAGTTTATTGAACAGTTTGGTCTTTCATGGCATATTTATTCTGACTGGCTAAGTACATGTACCTTCCACATCTAGCAGTTCATGAGTAAATTCAAGAACACTTTTGACTGCCTCATGTAAGTCTGTTTAAGTCTCATACAAATTTCTAAAATGACTACATGTATACAAATTCTTTTACTTTTATTTTTAACTTGCGTGTGAGAAAAAAAAACACTAAGATATATTGGCAACCTTGCATGGTTTAGTTCAATTATGTTCAATCCTTTTGAACACACATGACACCTGTGTAGAACCACAACTTACCAAACATTTGATAGCTTGAGAACATCACCATATCAACCAATGCAGTCATGATAAAATTATTCAAGATCAGGTCACATTAAACATTCAGTCAGTGAGACCAACAGCTCTTTTTAGCGCCTTTACCAAAAGAACTTCAGTCTGCATCATCAGGCACCTATCTATAGCATGCACTTTCTCTGTTATAGTCTATAATGAAATACAAACCTGTATGAATGTGCATATGCATTCGTAACTTGTACTTCATATGAAAGCCAACGCCACATATTTCACACGTATGTCGTTTAACTTCACCATGTATCAGCATGTGACGACTGAGTTTATTCTGGCTGATAAGTCCTTTTCCACATACTGTACAGATAAATGGACGCTCTCCTAAAAAAAATATACTTGTATACAGTAGTTGTAGTTCAAATTACTAGGGTATACATTTGTGCCAAATTATTTATTTGTTCTCTTAAATTATGGCTTATACATGTAATTATGCATTTAACTCAAAGATTAAAACTTTAGATTTGTTGATGAAAGATTTGTTCTATCTTATTTTCAATAAATGTTTCTGAAACTTAAGATAAGTGAAATAGCATTAAACAGAAACATATTTTAAACAGACCTGTATGAAGACGCTGATGGACATCCATTTTAGATCGTGGCATGGTATGACCACATAGGTCACAAGTGTGTGGGGTTTTCAGTGATTTCATTTCTTCATTAGTCCTCCGTTTTCTGCGTGTAGCCTTAACTTCGCTAATATCAGATTTACTTATTATTCCATATTCTAAGCTGTCTTGATCAACACTCAAATTGGACTGGAGCTTTTCTGGCGTATCTTCTAGTACAGAATCTAATTCAATTTTACACTGTAAAGTTTGCTCAACATCCTCCTCAGTTTTATTTCTATTACCTTTTCTACCACCATGGGCTCGTACTATGTGTTTTTGTAAATTAAATATTCGCATAAATTTTTTATCACATTGTTCACAATGAAAGTTCATCAGATCAGAATGTTTCAGCTGCTCATGTCTTAGAAGACCTTGCTTCACCGTAAATTTAGCTCCGCAAATCTCACATTTATTATCTTCACTTATGCCAGCTTTTTTCGCTAACAAACCTTCACCATGTTCCTGATTCACTTGATTTGATTCAGGTAATTCTGATAAACTGTATTCAAATACAAGATTGTTGTCATATTCATTTAACAAGTCATGGTTTTCTTCCTTGACTAATACTGCATTTTTTTCAATCTTATTTTTCTTGCCCATTTTTTGTCTTGCACTTTTCACTGAAACATCATTAGCGACATTTTTTTCTAAATCAGGGGTGTCTGAAATGAACTTTGAGTTTTTTAATTTTCCTAAACCTTTTAATCGACCTTTTTTAACATTATTTTTACTGACCAAATCATCAGTTCTTGACTTCCTCTTAACACTACCTTTCTTTTTTCTGCTATCATTTTTTTCTTGATCAATTTCCTGAGACAAAATGTTATTTTTAGTACAAGATTCTTTGAGAATGTCTGTTTCCATTTCTCTATCCGAACATATACTGTTTTCATTTTCAAAATAATTATCTGTTCTATCAGAATAATAACCATCCTTTTCATCAGAGTCAACATCATCTTCATTGTGTGATATGTCTGCTGTTTCTGCTTCAACATCTTTTGGAATGGCTTTCACAGACTTTGCACCACTTAACACTTTCCCAGCTGATTTAGATTTATTAAAATGATTGCCTCTTGCTCTGAGTTTATTTTTTGACTGTACATTACATTCATTATTTGAATTATAAGTTCTTTTCTTTTCAGTGACATCAAATACACCTTCACGATTGCAATCCAAATCTTCAGTTTGAGTAAATTGACATAGACTTTCATGTTTCGGAAATGCAGTGTGTATAAAGTAGTCATAATGGTAAGAGCCACTCAACAGATGGTAAGTTGTGAGATGGTTGTGGAGACAGCATATTGTGCAGAATGTTTGCGGGCAGACACCACAATGGTAAGATTCTGACTTACCATTTACAGTGCTACATTTAGTGCCATCATCAATCTGTGTAAAAAAGCAGACATGTTGTCCATTATCAACATTGTCTGCATTTTGATATCTTGCTGTGGAATCATTTGAGTCAGGTGAGGAGGTAAACATATTTTCCTTTGAAATAGTAGAATTTGCCTGTTTACCTGTAGATAGACATTCTGTATGAAATTCTTCCATGCTGAAATGATATGTTATTCAATATAAAGTTTTGGATTTTTATCTTATTTTCTAGGAAAAGTATTACTGGTTCTCCTGTATAAATTTTCCTAATTTATTTTGATCCTTCATGTAGATCCAAAAGCATTCCCCAATACTGATTGATGAAATGTGATCCATTGCCTAGGGAAAAAAAGAAAAAAATAATATCGGTGAGTTATTTCATTCTTTAATAAATCTGACTAACCTAAACAAGTAAAATAACATATACACATATGAAAGCATAACTATAAGCATTTAAGGTTTAGAAACATTTCACACAAATTACTTATTTAACAAAGACAATAATAGTATATATTGTAGATAAGGACACAAAATTTAAGATACAAATTAGAATTACAAAATAACTTTAAAGTTCCATGCCTCCAGACGAGCAAAAATATTTTTAAAAAATCAAACTTCAGAAAAATGTACTAAGATATTAAGAAAAGTAAAAAAGATTCAAGATTCAAGTTATAATTATGCATGTCAAAATTGTAAGGCCATCCTTAAAAAATTGTTTGTTTGTAGTGCTCCGACCCTATGTTCAAGAGGTGGGTAGGTAGGTAGGGGATTTTTTTTTTTTTGGAAATTGTTACAAAATTGGAGCATACTGAGTATAGCAATACACAGTATATAGCCTCCCATGATATACTGTGCATTGTATTTAGACAAATTAAAATATGTAGGCAAATGTATTTCTGTTGATATTTTCTTTGTTTAATATTTCAAATGATAACAGACATACAATGTAACACTTTTGTTGTTGTTTATTTTGCATCTGTTTCATCTTTAAACAAAATAATTGAACTTGTTCCTTATTTACTGACATTAACAATGTCTGGAAAAAGGTGACAATACCTTTAATAAAACAGGTGGTATGAGAAAAATATATACAATATGATTACTTGACAGATCTAGCCCTTTGAGAAAATAGAACAGAATTAGTCTCAATACCAGTATTTCAGTGTTATTTGAAAATGCAATTTACACTGCAAGTATAGGTGTTTTGTTTGTAAAATCAATGATTACCACCTTTTTTGATGACCACCTAAGATTTCATTTACTGGTCCTGACTTGTCAGATACTAAATGCACAAAGAAGGGAGGGGTGTAGCAAATCCATTTTTCTCATTACTATTGAATAAAAGGAATTATCCTGCAAATAATATTAATCTGGTTAGAATATAATTATTTGAAAATAAATGACTAACAGCAGACTTTTTTAGCTCTTTTTTTGTTATTGTTTGTTTTTGTTTGTTTGTTTTTTTCTTTTTTGTTTGTTTGTTTTTTGTTAAATTTTAGGGGTACACTTGAAAATTTAGATTACCTTGCCACTTAACCAACAAACCATGTTAATTAACTCCATTCACTAGCCAGCATAATAATAGATCATTATGTATGTTACACCTGTCACACAGTCGTGTTTACTTACCATATATGGCAGTGTAGTATGTAGAAAAATCTACGTCACCTGCTGTATACATGTATAGTGTGTAATCAACAGGTCCTGGAGCCTGGAGTTTGTTTGGAAAGTTGGATTAAAGAGAGCAACAATTAATAAACCCATTTGGGTGTTTAAAAGGGAATATAGTACGGACAATTACAAAGGAGAAAAAAGGAACAAAAACAAAAGAAAAAATAAACAGTGCATGATTGCATCAAAGATTAAAAAATATGGCTATTAAATTACAATTTAGGAAAAGGTAAAATTAATGAATAATTATCATTCTTATAAAGAAAACACAGGTATAACTTATTTAAAAGTATCGGGAAAAGACCCATTAATTTCCAGCGATTTTCCCGCGAAAATTTTATCAATTAACTTGTTTTTTCAACAAGTTTTAGTGTAACCTCATTTTCTGACAGTCATGAATGGCAAAATGATTTAAATTAATTTATGTCAACAATAAAGTTTTTCTGGTATTATTTTGTGTAAAAATGTATGTATACAGTGGTGGCCTATGGTTACGGAGGGTAATCTATTTTAACATTCATTGATGTATGTATTTTATCTTTGAAGCAAGGTTGCAATCTTTTTTTTTTCATTTTTATACCCAAAAAAAATCAAATTGTATTCAAGTTAGATATGTCAACTCATGTAAAATCATGTAAAAAAAAATTCATGAGGGTACCATTTCTGTCCATTTTCACATAACAAAGTGGCAATCTTTTTTCACTTTTATATAAAAAATAAATCGAATTTTAGTCTGGTTTAATATGTCCAGACAAAAACTTTATATTTGTAAAAATATCTTGAAGAGGGCATCATTTCCATAAACTGTACCGTGTACGTATATATATGCAGCATTTAGTGGAATGAATAGGAAAATCGAGTACAGCTTCACACAGTGTGTAAGAGATTCATCCGATCGGCAATTATTTTAGCTAATATTTTCGAAAGGGGATCGACTTTTATAAGATTTAATGTTAAATAATTAACAAAAGAACAATTTATTCACATGTTTGGCTTGGAAACTGAGAATTTTTATGCCCTTTGCGAAATTTTAAGGTTTTTGGCGAATGTGAAATCGCCGATGTTCGGGGTCGAAGTTTGGCAAAATATCGATGAAAAGCGTGCGTTTATTTTGGTTTTGGAATAAAATTCTTTTACTCTTCTACTTCTCAGTTCAAAATTTGTCTGAAAAGTTATTGGAGAAAGATCTTTTTGACAGAATGGGTATATAATGATCTCAAAAAAAAAAAAAAATCCTCGAAGGTGTAAAAAATTTTTAGAGTCGGGGCCATTTTCATGGGTCGGTCGGAGCACTACAAACAAACAATTTTTTATGGATGGCCTAATGCGCAGTTAATAACTGATTTGGAGTAATTTTTCTCCATATTTCTACGGTGTTACTTACAGAGGGAAACAAATGTCTGTAAATCCAGAGACATAGATATCTCTGTGTCTCTGGTAAATCTTACAGTGTAAGGGGTATTTAGGCTTATTTCAACATCTTTTTTTTCTTTGTTTGTTTTTGGTTTTACGTCACATCGACACAGTATAGGTCATATCGCGACGTTCCAGCTTTACTCAGGTGGAGAAAGACCTCAGGTGTCCTTCCATGCATTATTTCAGGCACGAATGGGCACCTGAGTAAAACCACCGACGTTCCGTAAGCTAGCTGGATAGCTTCCTCACATGAAAGCATCCAAAGTCCCTGTCGGGATTCGAACCCACAGTGGTGAGGGGATCTTTTTTTGGTAATTTCAGTGGATTGTAAGAGCTGTTTGCAATATGTAAAACTTTTTTCTTTGTTCTGGCAGTTCACATAGATATTTTTTTAATACGGGGAAGTCAAAGACCGGGCCCACGAAGCGGGTCCGGGCTTTGGCTTGCCCGGCTATAGACTACACGTGTATATTTAAAAGAAAATCAAATAAAAAACAATTAAAAAATATATAGAATTCTATACCTATCAATGAAATTTTCAGTGTCAGTTTTAGTCGGGCGCTGCCATTTACAATGTAACTCAATGATAATAGGCGGGGTATTCCGATAACGGAACAAATCTCAACTTTTCGGATAAATAATAAACGTCGAGTGTTCCGAGTGAAAACGGAAGCGGTGCATGTAATACGAATGACACCTTTAAAACGGAAAGAATGAAAGAAATTTTTAACGACTTCCCTGTGCATAGGCTTTGCCTAATTTCATATTATAGTAAAACAAGTAAATGAGCCAACATGAAACTGGTGGACATGTGACAACAAGCACAAAGTTAAAACTGTTAAAAATTTATAAATTGTCATTCATTCACGTTCATCAAATAAAATCAAAAATACAGTATATATAATGCGAATAATATACCTTCGTTTATGAATGTTCTTCTGGTATTGATCAGTTATAATTATATCGACTACAGACTCATAAGCTTTAGTTTTGGATGTTTTTGGTTCTTGGCAAAATTATCGCTGTGAAGCTACTAGTTTCAAGTTAAGAATTAAACCGAATGATTCCATTTTACTTCAACATTGCAACTTATAAACATTCCTCCGTACGTCAACTCAAAAAATAAACAGAAATTCATTTGAAACTTTATATCTTTTAGATAAAAATTCCATTTCCGGTTCGACTACAAATGGTGTGAATGTTAGAAAGGGGAATAACTTAGTTGCGATTCAATTGGACTATCACAACAAATTTAAACTGTTTGTGCGTAGATCAAATAAAAAGAAATTGTATAAATATGACAACTATTAACAAGACCTTTACACTGCTAGACCAGAAATGACTTTATCGGTAAAGATACATGTAAGCCAGACAAGATGGAAGGAATCGGCTCTGTACTTATGGCTGACTAACTTTACTAAATTCTATCTTGATATTCCAAGATTAATAGACAGTTCTGAAAATATGGAAGCTTGAAAAGTGAATTTTACATATTCAGCAGGTTAAGTCTTACCAGTGTCAGAATTGTCTGCTGCTCAAGTTAAATCTACTTTTGTTGCAGCCCGTCACATTACCTTTTAAGTCGAATATAAAAATCAAATGCGTACTTCGGGAAAAATGCCCCCAGGTTAATACAAAGTGTAAAATATATCTCCCATAATTAATGCATAGAAAACGTTTTTGAAACGTACACAAAAATAAAATAATTTTATAATACACATAGAACAAATCAAATTGAGGACGAAGCTCATTTCCTTGTTGTGTGTCCCATTTACAATGATATAAGAACTGTTGTTTTTGGAAATGTTATTTCAAACAATTTATTTAATACAATGGCAGACAATGAAAAACTAGTTTACCTCGTAAACAACCATCAAAATAAAGTTATTAAATTTATTGTACAAGCATATCTGTTAAGGAGAGATTTATTGTATAATAGATCATGATTAATTAAAATTGAACTGTCCGTAAATGCATAACATGTATTGATATGAATTTACTATTATGTTAATAACATGTTAAAAACTATAACACATGCTCAGAATATGTTATTTTGTTAAGGTGACTTATAGGTCCTATGGGCCGGGTGTTTATCTTTGTGTATTTATGTGTATGTATATACGTATAACACATGTCACTATAATAAAGAATTTACTTACTTACTTACTTACTTACATAGAATGAAAGTAGAAACAAGAGCTGTCACCCAAGTGACGAATGCCCCCGAAAAGGTTTCTTAAGCATGCAGGTATTATGAAAAGAAAAGAGAATGAAAGTAACTAATTGCTGAATATTGTTCTTTGTATTATTGTACCTGTAATCTCTAATTGTGATAGCATGAACCTTCAAAATATAAGTGTGACCTTGACCTTTGAAGAAGGGACGTGGTTCCTGGACGCGACAAAATGTTGTTATGAGATAGACATTTGTGCCAAATTATTTCAAAATCCCTCAATGCATGACAAAGTTACAGTCTGGACATGATTGTTGTGTAAGTGGGGACACACGGACAGACGGACATGAGCCTTAGCCGCGACACATTGTCTTGATGTGGTAGACATTTGTGCCAAGTTATTTTAAAATCCTTCCATGCATGACAAAGTTACAGTCCGGACATAACGTGTGTACCTATAAACTCTAATTGTGATAAAGTGAACTTCAAATTGGTAGTGTGACCTTGACCTTTGAGGTAGGGACGTGATTATTGGACGCGACATATCGTCTTGATGTGCTAGACATTAATGCCTAGTTATTTAAAAATCATTTCATGCATGACAAAGTTACAGTCCAGACACGAATGTGTGTACCTATTTACTCTAATTGCGATAATGTGAAACTTCAAAATGATAATGTGACCTTGACCTTTGAGGAAGGGACTAGGTTCTTGGACGCGACACATCGTCTTGATGTGGTAGACATTTGTGCCAAGTTTTTTTTTCAAAATCCTTCAATGTATGACAGAGTTTCAGTCCGGACACGAATGTGTGTACCTATTTACTCTAATTGCGATAATGTAAAACTTCAAAATGATAATGTGACCTTGACCTTTGAGGAAGGGACTAGGTTCTTGGACGCGACACATCGTCTTGATGTGGTAGACATTTGTGCCAAGTTTTTTTTTAAAATCCCTCAATGTATGACAAAGTTACAATCTGGACACGAATGAAGTGGAACGGACGAATAGACGGACAGACAGACAAACGGTGCAATTATATTATGCCTCCCTTCGGCGGCATAAAACTGTAAAATCAAAATTTCCCAATTATATATGCTCTTTTTAAAATTTCATAGCGAACTTAGAACTTAAAAGGACGGAAACAGATTTCCCGCTTGTTTTGCGTTAATGTCGTTGTATATAAACAAATTTCAGGTGTTGCTGTGAAAATTAGCCACCTTATCAATAGCAATAAGGAAATGACATGTTTTTAAGTTCTGTCCTTTTATAAAAGGGCGGATAGCTGTTTGTCCCTTTCTTGTACGAGAAAGGGAATCCTGTGATGCGTGTATGTGGTCGCACGGTCATTTTTCTTACAACATTTCCTCGATGCATGTATTTGTCGCATGGTCGAAATCTTTTTAAAAAGACAACACTTTCAAAATTGTTTTGGAGCAAAATCTTAATATTCTTCTGATAAACCGATAAACACGAAATGATTAGTTTTAAAAGCCTAATAAGAACTTAGGACTTTTTCGCTTTAAATAAGGAGTTATAAAAACCTGATTAGGACTTTGATACTCGGTCCTAGATAGAAGAGACAAAAAAAAACCTTATTACAACATTGTTACTCCATTTGCAACTATTTTTACACATAATTAGGAGAAATAACCCTAATTGAAACTGTGTACTTGTAAATAATGAGCTTTAAAAGCTTAACTAGGAGAAATAGAAATACTATTTAGAGTTGACATATAAAATCTTAATTTGTACTTTTAAATTCCTAATGAGGAGCTTCAAAAGTCTCAATATGAATAGAAACCTAATTTGAATTCTGTAACATCTGCTTAGGATTTTATACAATAAATAAATGAGAATTTTATTTCTCTTAAACTGCTATTTAAGACATGCAAAGTCCTCATTACAATGTAGTTTATAGATATTAAAACGTCACACCAACACAGTAAGGTCATATAGCGACATCCCAGCTAGCTTTACTTGGTAAGGAAATAGAAGAAACAGAACCCCTAAAGAACGCCTAAAACGGCAAATTGAACATGTTGTAGGCGCGCCTCTTGCACGAACGGGAGCCTGTGTAGAGCCGCCGACGTTTCGTAAGCTAGTTGGATAGCTTCCTTACATGAAAGAATCCCAAGTTCCTGGTGGGGTTTCAACCCTAGGCGCTGAGGGGCAAATAGATGGACACTATAGTCTAGTTATAAATAGACACTTGGTTTCCGGATAAAACACCTTTGAGAGGTTTGTAGAACTAATATTTGATTGAATGTAACGATTTTCAACGTAGATGTCTCGATTCTAAAACCGTCATTTTCCGAGTACATCTTTTGTGTTAAGTTAATCCATTTATAAATAACAAAGTTATATAACCAATTACAGAAAAAAAATGAATTTTTCTTATTTTGACCTTGATAGTCAAGGTCAATTTAAGGCCAAAGTCACATTTAAATTATTTAATATATTTGTTTGGTACAAGCCTTGTTTTGTCCAAGTTTAAATCAAATCCGTACATAAATAACAAAATGATGACAATTTAACCAAAGTTCAATAATTTGACCTTGACGGTCTTATTATAAAAAGTGTTCTGATTTAATATGTAATCAATTCATTCAATAATAACAAAGTTACAGCCAGTTACAGCAAAGAAAAAAATGAAAATTTCAATAAGTTGACCTTCAAGGTCAAGGTAATTTATGAGTGAATGTCAAGGTCTGTCCACTTATCTTATACGTCTATAATAAAATATTATTGTGTTTATGTTTAAAGATAATTCATTTATAAATCACAAAGTTATAGCCACTAATAGGAAAATTCAGTAAAATTTTGACATTTGACCTTAGAGGTCCAGGTCATTTATGAAGGTCAAAGTTGGTCTAGTCTACTTAAAGGTCTTGTCTTGAAACACAAATTGTCTTTTACAAAACACCGAAATAAAATGTTCTTTCAAACAACCCCGGGCTTGAAATGTGAACTTTGTAACATCTAATATTTGCGGTATATTTGCCATAACATTTTCTAGAAAATCAGCAAGGTCAATGATGGCAAAGATTAATCAGTTTTTAAGACGGATCTCATGTATTTTTATTCTACAAAACATAATACACGATTCTTCATCCGACAATTGGGTTCCCTTGTATAAGTCCTTTCTTCAATGCATGCATCAATGGAAATTTCCCTTCCCCACATACACCTGTGGAATCATCCAAATCTATTGCCCATACCATAGCACCGGCAAGACCATTGTCTCGGATGTACTGTGCCTACAAATAAAAACTCTCAGTTAAGTTCCTTTAAAAATAAAAACAGCTCAGCAATATTGTAGACCCGGTATAACTGAGTCTCCTTATAAGATATATTTTTAAACACAAAAATACTAGTTGTAATTTTAAAACTGGTTTGATTAAATACGTTCATGCGATAAAGAGTAAAGCGCTATATAAAAGTTGACGAAACTTTCATGTTCATGTTAACGAACATTATAGACACACAATAACACTGTGCCTAAACGTTGTTTTCTTATTTCTAAAGTCATATTTGGTTTTCAGAAAATTGAATGTCTGTTAGTGAAGAATACAAACATAGTTCTAAAGGAAACTTAATTTTAAAAAGTAGGTTTGATTAAATACGTTCATGCGATAAAGAGTAAAGCGCTATATAAAAGTTGACGAAACTTTCATGTTCATGTTAACGAACATTATAGACACACAATAACACTGTGCCTAAACGTTGTTTTCTTATTTCTAAAGTCATATTTGGTTTTCAGAAAATTGAATGTCTGTTAGTGAAGAATACAAACATAGTTCTAAAGGAAACTTAATTTTAAAAAGTCTGTATAATTATATATCTTATCTTATTGAAATGTAAAATCGACGGGAAAAAATCGCATTGTTTTCTTGCCCTTAAAAAACGCCTTTTAGCGTGGATAAATAGAGACAACGATTCACAACAAAAATGGGAATTACAATAATTAAAAAGATTTAATAATATAAGAATAAATATTTAGTAGACAAGAATGTGTTTACCTTTTCTGTTATACTTTGAACATCATCGTAGCCCACCCATTGATCGTCATAAACAAAATAGGGAACCCTCTCCTTATCAAGTCTTACTTTAATTGTAGAATTTCTGGCCAACAATTTACAAATCTGTTTGTAAAACATACAAAGTAAGCTATAAAAGAATAAAAATATAACGTCTGTATTATTTGTAATTGATTAACACAATCATATACTGTAACCCAATTTATATTCGCGAATACAAATTTTCGCGTTTTGCCGAGGTCGGACATATTCGCGAATATTAATTTCCGCGTTTTCCTGATTTCAGAAAAAAATATTCGCGGATTGGAAAGTCCGATGGGGCCGTAAAATCCACTAGCCGACTATTAATCTTCAATAATTGAGGTCATTATTGGTGTCTAAAATGGGATTAACAATACGTTACCCTTATATTGTATTGGTAAGTGAATTGTGATCACAATTCAGCAAAACATTAATTCTATATTTTTTATTTATATGTGTACATGTACGCATCGTTCGTCTTCATTTCTAAACATGTCGTTAAAAGGGTGGGTATCACACTATTATACTTTGTTTTTCTCGACTAATAGTTTTCTTTCGTCTGTTCCCTTCAGATGTGTGAAAAACACAAACTAGACGATAATTGCTCTGTAGCGCGTGTCGTAATGATAATTATGTTTGTAACATGTTTAGCTGTTTTTACAAAGTTAATCTATTTAGGGTGTTGATTGACTTATGTCCAAAATGAGTGAATTATACGTTCTTTATAAATATTCGAACACTGTATCGATTCATTATGACTTTAAATGAAAATGAAATAGTGATTTCTATATTGACATAGAGTTCTATTGATATTTATAAAATAGTAGTAGTTTACTTATTTTGTGTTTTATTGCTTTATGGCAATATTCATAACATTTCATTACTTCCTAACAGGTGCCCGTAAAATTCGAATATATTCGGTCAAGTAGCTTTGCATGAACAACGTCTAAAATAAAAATTTCTCTCCAATTTATTCGCGAAATCGTGCGGACTTATTCGCGCAAACAAATATTCGCGCTTCGTGGCCATCCGCGAATATTAATTGGTCGCGAATATTCATTGGGTTACAGTACTATAGAATGCACAACCCAAAGTGAGCATTCACCTTAAGAGCCGTTGTTGAAGATTAAACAATTTATTGACGAGCGAAAGAATATTCTATTTCCGGCTAAGAAAGTGCATATCTTATGGCAAACTCCTACGCAGTGACCCTCTTCGCTTTATTTGAGCAACGCCATTCAAATAACTGTGAGGAGTTTGCTCTATCTAGATGTTTAGACATCTAGTGTCATGACACACCCGTCGCATCTGACCTTTCTCTTTGGTTGGGTTTTACGTCACACCGACACAGTATAGGTCATATGACGACTTTCCAGCTTTACTGGTGGAGGAATACCTTAGGAACCCTTCCGTGCTTTATTTTTTTCAGACACGAACGGACACATTAGTAGAACCATCAACGTTCCGTAAGCTGGCACATGAAAGAAGTCCCTGTCTGGATTCAGACCCACAGTGGTGAGGGACAAGTGGTTTTAAGTCAACGACCTAAACTGGCCACAGACACCCATCGCAGTTAAAGACACACCGCATATCAACCTGACAAAATGCTTCAAGTAGAAACGATAGAAAGATCAAGAGGACAACCGTACAATAAACTTACCGTATAGTATGCCAGTGTTGTCCCTGCAGTGCTGTTATCACCTAAGTTTGCGTTTTGTTTGTCAGCTAGGGTAAAAGCATGGCCGTAGAAAGGGACGCCAAGAATTAATTTATTCTTAGGAGCTCCCTCAGAAATCCAGTATTTGACAAAACGGTCCTTAAATATTCAATATTCATAGTTGTATGCATAAATCTCCGCAGATAATAAAAAAATTGGGACATAAGATATATATTCAATTGTATTTGAAAAATTGACAAAGTCATTGTCTGCAATAAAGCTAAATATAATTCTTATTATCCGATTACTACCATACGAATCCACGATTTAATTCATAACCTAGATGTTAATCACAAATTAAATAATAAATAAAGTAACATCAATAGTACTTAAAATTCTTAAAGATTATTATAACTTTGTTTAAAGTCATTAGGACAAGAGAGAAAAAAAATGTTACTATATTTAGATCATTGTCACTGTAGAGGGCGCTGTGTACATTAACGATGTCTTCCCACTGTCCGTGAAAATCGTACATCATCAGATTTATAAAATCCAAATATCTGAAACACATAAAAAATCCATTAATTTTGACAGACTTGATGGATGCAGCAATTAAAAACAATCACCGGTAGTTTTTTATAACATAAACTGCCCCATATTTCACACCCATAACCACAAAACTAGCTTAAGGTCATCAGCGTACCCGTTTATATACTATGACAATACATCAATATTAAAAAGCGGCTTATAAAGTTTTAGAAGCCAGAACTACCACAAAACGAGATTATGCTCTAGCTAATATCAGTACTTATTTTAAGGGGTTTCTTACAAGCAGAAAGAATATTCAAAAAAGTTTATTTGACGTCACATACATACGAGTATATGTACATTCGTTTAAAAGTTTCAATATTTAACGAAACGCTTAAAATATCGTAGTTGACATCTGTGATTCTACTAATGTGCTACTGTAATGTGCCCACTCGTGTCCCAAATTCTTTAGGATATTTTTTTCAACCGGTAAAACTAAAAGCCGCCAAATAACTTGAACAGTTTGTTTTACCCAACCAACCAAACAATCAGCCACTTCACAGGAACCCTTCCAGTTTCAAACTTACTTGGATAGTCCCAGAATGTCGTAGGACTCTCGTGTTCTGTACTCGGTTGGGGAAACAGCTGCTGTCAACAGTAATCGATGCTTATCTCCCCTGTTTTCTTCATGTACAAATGCATTGCGCACAATCTGTCAATAATGAGATCAAACTATAGGAGATGAAAGCAATTAAAGACAATTTGTTGCGTAACATAATTTAAGAGCACAAATAATGTAGAAAAAAGACTACGTGCAACTCTTTTCCTTGAAAGTACATTGTAGATCTAAATAAAAAGAAAACAAAAATATTATTCAAAGTTATAAAGTACTTTTGTCTCAATGTATATCTATACATTTAGTTTTACGGACACAAGAAAGTGAATGCAAATGTGTTAACATTTAAGGTTATACTAACTCCAGATTTAATCACTTTACGTCGGAAATTTGATTTTCTCTAATATATCATAATGCCGAAATAATTTAACAATGAATAACAAATCTTATCATAGATTATTCCTTCTTTTTCAAACAATGCCTGCATGCATTAAATATATCAAAACAGTCTCATCTTTCGTTTTTGTCATGGGTGATTTGAATCCCGACCAGGGCGCTTGAGAAACATCCAAGCTTGATTCAAGACCGTCATGACCGTTTATGCAGTAATGTCGTGTCTTTAACCCTTGATAAATTTAACCTTACCTTAATTAGTGTGATAAAGTTTGCCTTATCCTCCGGTCCACTACCTCTATCCGCAGGGTATTCCCAGTCTAAGTCAAGACCGTCAAAGCCGTACATTCTTAGATACTAAAATAGTAAAAAAAAAGCCGAATAAGTAAAAAAAGTAAGTTATGAAAATAAGCATATATGCTACTTTCCTATGAAAAAGCAACGGGCAATTCGCAATAGCAATATTGCTATCAAGTTCAATAGTATTGGATTTGACCTTTAGAACTACTAACACTTTACGAGGCAATGATTGTTTTTTACGAACCAAACAAAGATCATTCCCTAAATGTTCCTTATAAATGTAGATGTACTATGCCTAATGGCTATAGATAATCACCAACAGTCCTCAGCATAACGACGTGTGTTGAACCTGTATCAAAGGAGTTCAAATGAAAATCCTGTTGTTTCATGTTCTAGTTTTATTTTATGGCTCGTATCACAAACGAGTTAATAGGTCAAAATTTAATAAATCTTTAACCAACTATAGAAAATTAGTTTGAAACATTATTTTTCATTTCAATTGCCTTTAAACTCATGGACACTGAACATTAAAGTTTTAAAGTTAAGGTGAAACAAAACGGATGCCCTTATCTACATTCAGATACATTTTTTCGTCACCATTTTTATCTGTCGAGACCCATCTCAAACCAATAAACAAAAATTCTGTCAAAAGTTTTCCCGGAAGTTTTAACGGGTTCCCATGTTCTTTCTCGCATTTAAATACATTATATTAACGACCTACATTACATTTTTCATGAAACACAAATATTACACACTTCAAAAAATAAAAAACCAAAAACTTGCCGGTCACATACCTTTTTACGTTAGAGGAAACTCCCCATGTTATCCCCTGCGATACCATTTATAAATAAATTTTCTGCCCATTCCCAAAACCACCTATGACAACATGTTTCATGGGCATTCTTTGACTTTAGATTATTTAAATCGGGGGGTATCACAAAAAAAGAAACTGAGTCACAAATTTTAAAATACACATTTGGGTGAGGTGAATTTCTATAGAATACAACAGAGGCGTATCAAGGGGGGTTTACATCATCTTTTCAAAGGTTATATGTTTTCCCAAAAAAAAAGGTCATGATATAAGCTTGAAATTAATAAGCATTTCACATTAATTTTTTCAAAATATGGGGAAAATAAATTCATATCACAGTTTTTTGTTTTTTTTATTGGGGGGGTTTTTTCGTCGCACCAAAAAGTATGGTCATAGGCGACTTTTTACTTAAAATGAAGAAGACCTCAGGGGCCTTCCCGGGAAATTTTGGGCACGAAGGGGACCCAGTAGAACCCTCACGGAATTTCCCAAAAGCACTGGATAAGCTTTCCCCTCCATGAAAAAGTCCCCGTTGGATTCAAACCAACAGCGGGGAATGGGAGTGGTGAATACCCCCTAACCCTCCCCCGGGCCCCCAAACCCCCCCAAAAAAATGCAGCTTAATTATTAGTTAATACATGTATATTCAAAATGACGACTGTATAACAGTAAGGTCCGTCAGTACAATGCAGGATGTCCTGTTTCAACAGCAACTTCTCGGCACTTTCCGTTAAACCTCGGAATTATGAATAATAAACGAGATGTTCTAATTGATCCTGATTCTGTACTTGTGACACATGTACATCCTTTCTTTCAGTTAACAGTTGACATCTACCATTGTTAAAAAAAGGAACTTGTTTGGCAAGGATAAATTCAAAGTCAAAAATAGATGCTTACAAGGCCGGCTCGTATGACTCGAATGGTATAATTTCTGTCCCGTTGCTATCCAGCGTCGAGAAGGCAAACATGAGGTGAGTACATAGGTACGGATCTATATCCTCAATCCTCAGGTGTGACGTCCAGCTGCCATAGTAACATACACGTTTCAAGGCATCTGTAAAGATAAAAAATACGCAATATTGTGTTCTTAAAGTCTACTAAACTGTCATATTTGAATTAAAGAAGTACCTTGTGA